GTGAGCTTTCATTACTTTCTCCAGATTATAACTTATTCTAAAACTGGTTATCAAGGAAAGAGAAAACTGGCAAAAATGGTTAGTCTGATATCATTTTCAGAAATTATTAAGCTCGCAGAGATATTTATTTGAAGTGATATTTTTGCTCTGTGGTGTCAAAATTTACATTTATTCTTATACAGAAAACTCTAATTATCTTGTCATTGAAATGGGAAATGCTCTCAGCTGTAGTAGTAAGATTCAAATCATGTCTTTTATTCTGAATTTATATTTTTTTGTTGTTAAAAGATTTGATAGAGGGTATAAGAAATTATTTTGTTCTGTCGTGTTGTTTCCTCACTTTTGATTATATGATGTTACATTACATATCTATTATATTCAAATTATGAGTAGTATTAGGTACTGCTGCAATCAAATGTCAGATCATAGGATCATAGATTTACAACTGGAGGGGACCTCAGACACTATCTTGTCTAACCCCTCATTTTACCAATAAGGTAACTGAGGCCTAGGAAGGTTATGTGACTTTTCCAACGTCAGACGAGTAGTTAAGCATCAGAGGTGGTATTTAAGTCCGCATTCTCTCACTCCAGAGTCAAAGCTATAAGAGAACTTATCCTCCTTTATTCTACGACAAATCATTTAACTGAATTTCTGGGCAATGTGTATCAAATCTGTCCTTAACATTTGAAGCCCAAATGCATTCATTTTACTTTGTGCTATTGTATATGTTTGCTGCTGGTTATGTATTAGTTGTTTGGGTTTAGGACCATAAAAAGTAATATTTTATTCCATTTGATGAGTTAGGTAATTGAGAAAAAAGTTGTTGTTTTTTAAACCATTAGTACGACTGACATAAGAGTCATGTTAGAGATATTGGCAATATTAAGTTTCAATTGCCATAACAATGTATAAAAGTCAGGATGAACCTTGTCAGAGTCATCTGTCAAACACAAATTCCCAAGTCAGTAAATACTAGTGGGAAGTGTGCTGGTCTCAGAGGAAGAGATCCTTGGTTTGAATCCCAGCATTGGTACAAATTGATTGTGTGACAATGAATGGGCCAGTCATTTGTTCTCTGAGCTTCAGTTTCTTTGTCTGTTATATCTCATTGGACTTGCTTGAAGGAAGTGTTTTGTAAACATTAAATTTAGAGCCAAATATAAAAGTGAGTTATTACTTTGCAGATAGAGAGGAACGTTGGTCTGGCCTGTTGTCGATTCCCATGGCCATTTTTAATTCTTCATGAATTGAAGTGTGGCTACAGATTTGATTTTATATCATTAAAATTAATTTTGATGTATAAAAATTAAAAGTTCTTTTTGTATGATAGTTGCTGATGAATGGATACTAAACAGACTTTTAAACCCATTTTGCCTACAGGAAAATTATGATTTTTACCCATCAATTCCACCTCAAAACAAGATAGGCTGTAAAGTTTCAACTTTGGTACCCAGTAGTGGTCCCAAAGCCAGAATTCGTATTCTTATAATAGCTTTTTTTAAAAAAAATTTGCACAGAGGAAGACGATATGAATTATTGTGGTGATTTTTATTATGGTCAAGTCAATCATTAGCAATTAAGATTAAAACAAGTAATTGTACTAATGATCTGCCATTTAAAAAGTATAGTCAGTAGACTTAGTAATATAGTCAGAGGATGCAAACACTAGAAAGAGAAGAGAGTAGGATAAGTTGAAACAGGTGGTTAACTAGACAGTGGGAAGCATGGTACCTGGGGTTCAAATGGGAACAAAAGTCTTAAGAGCTATAGAGAAGGTATAATTTGGGGTCAAGTGAAAGTTTGGAAATAGAGTATTCAGGCCTCATATGAAGACAGGGTTATAAAAAGAACAAATTAAAACTAAATTGATTAGAGAACTGGGATAAGGGGGTGATATCCTAGCTCCCCATTCTTGTTATCCGTCTTGCCTTGATTGCTAAACATATTTAACTGACTCAATTATAGCTCAGCCTCACCTGGAATCAGGTACCAAATCTTGACTCCAGATGTGTGATAAAGAGACCTGAGTCAGTAGGTGCCTTGCTCTCTAGCCTTAGTACTTGCATCTCTCCAGTGACTACATTTTCATAGTTGTACCCCAGATTCCAAATAATTGAGCTCCTACTTTGTTTCATTCAGCCCTCTGGGTGGCTGTATTTCCAATCTGCTACCAAGAAACACAGGTTTTGAGAGTTGGACAGGACCTCATCGGCTATCTAGTACAACTTGTACTGGAAAAAAGAATCCTCCCTACAATGTAATCACCAACTTGTCATCTAGCCATTGATTAAGGACCTTAAAGAATAGAGAACCCCCTACTCCCTGAGGTAGCCCATTCTAATTTTGAATGGCTCTAGCTGTTAGGAAATTTTTACATCAAGTTTAAATTTGGCTCTTTGCAACTTCCAGGTTTCTACTAATTCTGTTCTCTGGGGTCAAAACAAGTAAGTTTAATCTCTCTTCCATTTTCCCAGAGGGAAAATGCCTCAAGATATTTGTCTTGTTCCTACAGTCTTCTCTTTCTAAATTACTTCAGCTTGTCCTTATATGTCATGAACATGAGACCCTTTAAAATCCTGGTTGCCTTCTTCTGGGCACTCTTCTAGTCCTTTTTAAAATGTGATTCCTTAAACTGAATGATCCAGATGTAGTCTAACCAGAAAAGGCACAGCAGGTCAGTGGGGAGGACATTGAAGTTGGAGTCAGGATGATCTGATCCCAAATATTTACTACTGACATGATGTTGAGCAAGTCAGTGAACCTTTCTGTGCTTCAGTTTCCTTATTTACATCAAGGAGGTGTGTGGACTAGATAATCTTTAAGTCCTCTTGTATCTCAGAATCTTGATCTTAGTTCTCCAATGACTGAGTATGCTTCCTAATTCTGCAATACTCAAGGGGTGAGTTTTCCTGTGTTTTTGACCTCTGCTCATCTCTGCTTGCGCATATACCCCTAAATGTTATAATTAGAACAATGACTAGCTATGTTCAAATCCTGACTTTCTTTTCCCTCTGAGACTAGTATATTAGTTGTAGATCTAATTTCTGGGCTCATATCCCTATATAGCTATTCCTAGGAAGGGAAAAAATAGATATCATGCATCCTTGTTTAGGTTCCTGGCATTCTCCAGACATTGCAGGTCTTCCTGTATTTATCTGAATTTAATTACACTTTAATTTTTAGTTGTTGACTCTTTCTTACAAATTGGATAGTATAGAGGGTACCCAGTTTGTAGCAAAACAATGACTTCTATTTTAGATATGTTGATTTTGAATTGATGATGATGATGTTGATGATGATGATGATGATGATGATGATGATGATTCATATAGTGCCATAAGGTTTGCAAATCTTATCCTCACAACTCTGGAAATTTTGTGCTAATAGGATGCTTAGGAGAAATTGTTGAAGTTATCTAATAGCAGCTGGTGATGCAGGGCCAAAGTTTAATGTGTCAAAAAGTGAACTCATTTCCTTTCTTCCAAAAATCAATCCTGTTTTGAACTATCCTCTTCCTACCAAGAGTACCACTTCAAGGTTCAAAAACTCTGTGCTCTCCTTTACCTCTTGGAGGGCTTCAACCAGAGACTAGATGACCAAACTTATTTCACATTATTCCACTTCAAACTGTTGTCCAGATAATCTAACCTTGTTAATGTGATGCTGACATGAAGCTCCATTTCCTACATCTGCACCTTGGCACTAGCTGTTCCTCTTACCTGCAGTGTCCTCCCTCCTCTCCCCTATACCTCAGAATCCCTAGTTTCCTTCAAGGGCCCTGGAGTGCAGAATAAAGAACAATGGATAAAAGTTACAAACAGGCAAATTTGTTTTGATATCAGGAAAACAAAAACAAAAAACAAAACAACTTCTTAACAATTACAGTCATCCAAAAATAGAATGGGATATCTAGAGAGGTGGTGGGATTTGCCATCCTAAGTCTTTCAGTAGAGGCTGGACAACCACTTGTTGAGATTCTTCCCCCCCCCCCCCGTAGATTGAACTAAATGGCCACTAAGTTCCCTTCTAATTCTCAAATTCAGTGATTTCTATGAAAGCCTTTCTTGAATATTCTACTGGTAGTACCCCACCTCCTACCCTCTTCACTCTGTGTGTGTGTGTGTGTGTGTGTTTGTGACTGTAAACTTTTTGAGGGCAGGGATTGTTTTTGTTTTTTGTCTTTTTATCCTCCTGAGTGCCTAGCACAGTGCCCGACACATAATATGAGAACACATAAATTTTCAATGAATATTTGTTGATTAATTGAGGAGCAATTAGGGACAAACAGATAGACATATAGACAGGTATAGATACAAACATCTCTATATTTAGATAGATATAGATCTATAGGTCTTTCTGTAGATTGATCTATATCTAGATATTGAGCTATATAGATATCTATATCTAGACAGATATAGAGCTATATAGATATAGATCTATCTATATAGAGATATCCATAAAGATCAATATCTATCTATATAGATATCTCTACACAGCTATAGATAGATCTATCTGTGTACAGACCTATATCCCTCTAGATAGATGTCTTTAGTTGCTCCTCAATCATATATGTATATATGAAATACATGTTATTCAATAGAATGTAAGCTCATCCTAAGTAGTGACTATTGTTTTTTTTTTAATGTTCTTAGCACCTAGCATAAAGCCTGAAACATAGTAGGTGCTATATGAATACTTATTGCCCGACTGAGGTATAGATCTGACAGTCATTTTGGATAGAAATGATGGTTTTGTCCATGAGATCTGATGAGATCATCAAAAGAGGTGTAGAGAAAGAACTTAAACACATGGTTAAGGGGTAGGATATAAATAATGATCTAATAAAGGAGACAGAGAAGAAGCAGTCAGAAAGGTAGTAGGAAAAAGAAAACAATGACATGGGAACTTTTGGAGGGGATACTGTTCAGAAGTCAGTATTACATAGTAGTTGGAATTGCACAGTCTAAAGTGCTACAGAGAGATCAAGATGGGTAAGG